GCACATTTTTGCGTATAACTTCGGAACCAGATGAGATAGAATAGAGCAGTAAACGGCCAATCGGCTTATTTTTTCATGCTCTTTCAGATGAAGCAATAAGATAGATGAAGCAATTTTCATTGCCCATACCCTTTGAAAAGGATTAGTGTCACACCAGGAATTCGCGAGCTCAAACTCCTGCTGGCGGCCATTTTTCGGAAGGAATAGATTAGATGATCGGGAAAGTATTTACAATCCGTCATATATTTAAACCATCCTTTTATAATCTTTGCTCTTTTTGTCTGATTTTTATCAAATAATGTACCAAACAAGGTATTTTTATCGCTATTTGTTGTATTTGAGTAAAATGTAAACAATAACAAAAGCCTGCAATGCATGACCCTGACACTAATCCTTTAAAGCACGGCGATGGGCGTTTTAGCATATTTAAAAAATCGAGTTTTTCAGGTATGATAAAACATGAACTTGGGAGTGCCGTGGCTTGCCGTGGCTTGTAAAAGTACTTTATGATCAAAAAGTGTGTAAGGTATAGTGTTTTAGCCATACTTATATATTTTTTCTGTTCTTTGTAATATTGTAGTAATTTATGTATGTAATAATCTAGCACAGCTTGGAAAACCACTTTTTGAAAATAGTTTTAAACCGTGGATAAATAAAGTTTTCGTCATTATTAAATATTTTACAGCCAAAATTTCTCAGGTAATATGCAGTTGCTAGGAAATCAAATGGTCATCTACGCATAATGATATGCATGAATAAGCGTTTTGGATAATTGATCTTATCTGTCACGCAGTTTTTAGGATATCACGTTACGAGTTAGTTTCGGAATTTCAACGTTTTTTGAAACGAAAATAATTTCATCGTGGCAAACATCAAAACAAGGAAATAGAACCAGAATATTGCAACATTTCTTCCATCTGATGGTATGTAGTTATATTTAAGGTGGGAAGGAATTCATAAAGAGGGGGGATACCATAGTGACAGCTGCAGTGAGCATAACTCGTTTGAAAATCAGTAATTACCGTAACATTTTTCGTGAGAAAATTGAATTTGAATATTACATTTTCAATGTTTTTCTTATTGCAGCGAAATGTATTTTATTAAGTAACTCTGCGAGTTTTCAACATTTTTCGTTCAAACTTGGTTTGATAGTAGAACTAGTCTAATGCTTTTATTTTGAAACCAATAAAAAAAATTTAGGCAAAATTAACACTCAAAGGGTGTTCTGTAACCTTAATCACTATTTTGTAGTTAAATAGTGATTAACTCTCAAATACGCGCTTCTTATTGGATGACGTTTCCACTAACTATAGTTTATACGACCGGCCCCTGATCAGTACAGCTTTGACAAAGCCATAAATAATTATTCTGTCTTATCATGTAGGTTCGGCTTCCTTGACTATAGATGAGTTGCTTTGTGTTCATATATCGCGTTTTATTTTCTCTTTGTTTTATCTCCTACGAATGTGAGGGTAAGTCACTATCTAGAATACTGGGTTTGGTGACGCTTAGAATTTCAGGTTTAGACTTTAAGGTTTGCAAATTAAGGACAACTTTTTTTGAATTAACTGTATATATATAAATATATAATGATTAATGTCCTCACCGTTTAATAAATATATATATATTGAGATATTTAATATAACGACACGCATAAGAACACAAG